GCAGAGGACCTGGTTCCGATTCCCAGCACCCACATGTTGGCTAAAAACCATCCTTAGCTCCAGTTCCAGGATACCTGATGCCCTCAGTCCCATAGGCGGGCACTGCATGACACGGATGCACTTTCAACCATGCAGGCAATACACTCATACACATAGAGTAAAATTAATGAATAAAATGTTTTTTTTTAAGAAATCCCTGTTTGACAGTGTTTATATGTCTTTCTAGCAACCTAAGAAAAGACAAAATACATTAAGTATTCTGCTCAGTGATTTCTACTTTCGGACCAGCATTGTTTCAGATTACATATGTAGAATTGTGGAGGAATGGGGCCCATTTTAGGCCACCTAGTGTGAAGAGTGGCTTTGGTAGGTGGGAATACTCTTTTTTTCATTGATGCCTTTCCTGTCTTATGACAGGTTACCCTCATAAAACAAGATGTTTGACTCTCTTATCTACACAAAACATTGAAACTTCTGGTGAGTATGTTTCCCCTTCACTCTTTTAGTGTGTAGCTAACTGCCTTGGCCAAACTGACACAAAATTAGATATTTGACTGCATTTCATTGACTAACTTTTGGCTCTTACTGTGGTGATTTAGTAATTCCTCTGTAGAATATGAGTCATTTGTTTGCTTCCTCATAGGAGAGGAAGATGTCCATTGCTGCAATTTGTCATGGATGAAAACCAACTGCTTCTGTGTTACAAGATGGAGTCACTCCAGCTTAGCTATTGAGGACTAATTTTCTTATATAATACCCATTCTTCTCAGTCTTGCATTCTCTCTCTCCTTTGTTGTGAAGCTTTGGGATTATATAGTTTTTTTTTTTATTTTGTTTTGTTTAGTGTTTCTGCTGAGAGACGAGCACAGAGCCGCTATTTCCACAGCAAGGATACAGATCAAAGCAACAGGTACTTACTCCTAGCATGGCACAAGCATCAGTCAACATTATAATGTCCCAGTTACCAAGCAGATCACGAAGCCAATTTGCAAAACTGACATAACTGCCTAAATGATCTACATCATGAATATTCACTTTTCACTGGTTAAAAATATCTTTGACATCAACCTCATTATCTGGGATATAAATATATTGCTCATGGTGCTGGTGAGAGCACATGTGTCTACAAGGGCAGCACTTAGCATTCTGCTTTGTAATACCACCTTCTTCATATGTGTTGTTCCTTAAGCCAGCAAGAACATTCTTTACTTTATGTGTGCAGTTTAAGGTCTTGGTGGTGAAACTGTCAAGAGCCTTTATCTGAGTCAAATCAGCCCTCTGCTGTCTAGGATATGAGTAGACTGAGTGGGTGTTCTCACCAGGTCAGTTACTGAGGAAAACTGAGTTTTAGCACTGGTAGCTTTCAAGCTCAGTAGGCAAGGGGTCATGGATACAGCCAGGTAATAAAGGCCACTTTCTAACTGTCTGGCAAATTGTCAAATGATTCCCATGTAACCACCCTGTACCTACTGGGGGGTATTATGTCCTATGTCTGTAGAAGGCATTTTGTCTCCCAATCTATTTGGTTTCACAAACCTATCTAGTGTTTATATAGATCTTCGTTTCTCATCCTGGTTATTCCATTCCATACTGTGGTGTGTATGTGTTGACATTTATTCATGTAACTTCTCACAGCTACTAAGGATTACAGTATTAGACACGGACCCTCTCCCACAAAATAGACCTAAGGTCCAAATTGCAGTTGTCATACCACCAATGCAGCAGCAGTACTTCCTGCAAGGTTTGATGGTAGTTACAGTGCATGAAGCCTCTAGGTCAGCATGAATGCTGGTGACTGTTGTCCCACACACAGTGTCATCAGGCACTTATTCTAGTTTGCCTTTAATTGCTGTGACAAAACACTCTGATCAATACCAACTTATGGAGGAAATGGTTTTTTTGGCTTACATCTCTCACATCACAGTTCATCACTGAGGGAGCTCAAGGTAGGATTTCAGGGCAGGAACCTAGAGACAGGAACTGAAGCACAGGCCATGGAGGAATGCTGCTTACTGGCTTGCTCTCCTGGTCCATGCTCAACCTGCTTTCTTATACAATACAGAACAACCTGTCCAGGGGTGGCACAACCCACAGTGGGCTGCATCCTCCCACATCACTCAAAAATCAAGAAAATGCCCCACAGACATGGCCACAGGCCAGTGGAATGGGAGGCAACTCCCCAATTGAGGCTCCCTCTATCCAGATGTATCAACTTGACAACTAAATCTATCCAGCACAGCACTACAAATGTTTCCATCAATTTTGACATGAATACACTACTATGTAAACATTCCGTATGGTATGAGGAACCTCAGAAACACTTTGGTCAAAAATTCATAGGGAGGTAGCCCACCTGTGGCACTGCGGTTTTCACTTAACGACCAGTGGTTTCTGTCACTACTTCATCCATCCACTCAGGATGCTTTAGTTTAAACTCTTAGCTGTTGTTTCAAGAACTTGTTATACGGCATGTGAAAATGCCATTGTACTTTGTTGGCCTTGGCCCAATTATGAATGTCTGTGTTTGTGAAATGAGAGTTCCTGTCACTGTTGTTTCTCTGCAGACACTCCTGAGTACATGGAAATGGGTGAGACCCCAGATGATAACCTCACCAGGGACCACTGATAGGGGAATACTTTTTAGTGTTTTTTGTAGTATCTACATGAGTGAAGGCCTATTTCCATCTCTTACTCCTAGGTATGAGCCCTATGCAACCCACCTGCAAATCATTAATATGCAAGTTGATTTATATTCATGTTCAGCTAGTGTGACCCTGCTCTGAACGAGCCTTGTATGTGTATACAGCATGTGAAGTATAAATGTTGTGGGCTCCTTCAGCAGAGAGGACCACTCAGACAAAGTTTTGCTGAATGAAAGTCATTACTGGCTAGGGCTACTACACAAGGGTGTCAGAACTCAAGTGCATAGCCCTGAGCCATCTCTAAGGTAAGATTTTATACAGAGAAAACATAACCAGGGATGGGAAAGCTTAAGTTCCCAAGCTTACAGGTGGAGAGTTCCCTTAACAATTGCTATTTTATTAAGCAACAATTACTATTTTGCAGAAGCAAGCCAAGCATAACCTACAGAAGCCATAAATATGCAGTTAGCAGGTGCACTCTGGGGCAATCTGACTTGTTCCCAAGACAACCAGGGTCCAGCTGACATGTGTTCCCATACCCTGGGCCAACTGCCTGATAACTTCAGAGACTAGAGTCAACCTAAATTTTAACATGGCATAGCTATGGGCAAGAAGGCGCCCTATTACATAAGCACACTATGGTCTTCCAAAGTGAATCTTTGTAATGACATTCAAGTTTTCCTAATGGTCATAGAAGACAATCTGTAAGGAAGGGATCTCCTTGGTGCAGCACTGTCAGAGACTGTACAGCATACACCTCAGAACGTGGAATCATTATATTGCATCTCTTTTCTACCTCCTTGACACTTAAGCTGATCCCATTTACCCATTCATCCCAGAGTCTTACAAGCCAAGCAATAAAGGTCTCTTTTGTCATGTGATTAAGTGTATTCCCTAAGGTCAAGTGGCTCAAGTGGCTCAGAGATAGAACATTTCCTATTGATCATAGTCTCCTGAAGAGCAATCATGGACTCCCCCTTTCTCTACATCCAGGACAGGACTTGGAAGCTATCACTTAAACTTTCACCTCTTCTCATCCTTCTTCACTGTCTGGCTCGCAGTACAGGTCTTAGCTGAGGCTTCTCAGCACAACAAGGAATCTATTTTTTTCTTTTTGTTTTCATCCCTCTGAGTATAGAGACCAGAAATCCAGTTCTTCCATGTCATACTTTCCTTTATGTAATTTCCTGGCAGGCAAATGCAAAGGATGCCATTTATATCTTTTCTAGCTAGAGTTCTTCCTTCAAGGAAGCCATTTTCCTCTCACAGACTGTCCAGCATTGGCCACATGTCTTCCCATCCAGAATGAGGGCTGTAACACTGCAAGATATATTTCTCCTGAAGTGGTCTCTTCTATGTACTATGTTCAAAGATTACAGTATATTCTCCAATTTGCTAAGCAATCTTGGGCTCTTTTCATACTCACGTGACAGACCACATTGGTCTAGAAGGCACACCACTTCATACTATACAGAGGAGGATGGTCACTCTGAGATGTTGCCCATGGATGCTCCACCATCAGTTTCCTGTTTAGGCATCAGCTCCCCAGAGAGATGTCAATGTGTCTTATCTCTGCGTTGGGATGCTGAATTACTTGAAAAATGCAACTTGATGAGAAAATTAATTTATTATGAATGACTTATAGAGGAACATGCAACTCTGATTCTTCTTTAATAGAATTTTAAGGCTACAGAAGACTTAATGCAAACCTGAATATAGACCACCGCCTAGTGTCAAATTAGCAGAAATGACTAAAAGCTTAGATATCAAAGTACAGACAAAATCAAACCGAGAAGTTACTTGTTTATAGGCGGCTCTCTGTCCTCACTCATATTTGGGGGTCTGATCCTAGGAAGAACAAGTTTTAAGCAGTGAATTTCCGCCTATGTTAGGCCGTTTTAAATAACTCACAACTTTTATTCAGAGAGTTCTGTTAAGATTAGTCCATATATTTATAGTCAATTTTGCCATTTCCAGGACAATTTGATCATGTGCATAAGTATTACATACAGTCATCTTTTTTAAAGCCTGCACTGTCTCATGTGAAAATAACTGCAGAATCATGGCATACTCTTAGGTAATCCAAGTCCTTGAACTCAGAGAATATTTAAGGGATTATGATACCTCTTTAAGTTTAAATGGCTTTTAGAATACTTACTCCAATATAGTTCATATATTAAATTAAGGGAAAAGCAGGAAAAGAAATATATGGGAATTAGTTAAAAAATTTATGAAAAAAATGTCAAATGGAAAATCAAAAAATATCGTGAACAAATAAAAGTGAAAAAATGTTCAGAACAACTTCTGAAATTCAGAATCAATCTATTGTTTTATAGTTATCAATGAATATATGTAAAATAAGAAAATATTAATATATAAAATAAAGCATATAACCATAATTCTACATAAGTTGAAAATATACAAACTATATTTAAATATTACATTACATAACTAAACAGCAAAAGAATTTTAGCTTTGCTTGGTGACATAGTCTTACATTCCCATCTACTCAGGAGGCTGCGGCAAGAGGATCACAAGTTCAAGGCCTGTCTGAGGTACACAGCCAGTTCAAGATCATGGGCAACTTAGTGAGAACCTGTCTCAAAGTAAAAAGTGAAATAAGAGTGCTTGCAAAATAGCTCAGTAGTATGACATTTACCTAACATGTGTGAGGCCCTAGGTTCAATCCTCAGTACCATAAACACATTTAATGATGTATATTTAATGTGTATAGGGTAAACTATAAAAATAGCAATTAATTTAATGCATATAATAGAAAATAATGAAGCTGAAGGTGGGGGAAACAGGAAATCAAACAGACATTCATGCAACTTTAAGATTTAGATAGATGTGTAGAAGGCTGATAGCAGGGCTAGAACTGAACAGAAGACAGAGTCATTTGCTATTTCACTATTACAACTTTAATGCATATAGTACCTATAATTTATGATATTAAATAACTTCCTTTTTACTCATTCATATATTTGGCTTTAATGTGGTATCATTTTACTGAATATCAAAACACCTTTCTATTTCATTGTCTTATTTTACTCTGAATTCCCCCCATTTAATTTTCCATTTCGAAAATGATCAAGTGTCTTCACTGTTGTGAATTTCTCTTTTTTAAGAGACGTTTTTATCTTTATTTTATGTGTATAAGCATTTGCATGCATATATGTATGTGTACTGTGTGCAAGTCTGGTCCCCATAGAGGCCAGAAAAGTTCATTCAATCCGCTAGAACTGGAGTTACAGATGGTTGTGAGCTG